ATTGTAATTATAGACGATTTCATTGCCTTTTCGTGAAGTTGCGAGTGCGTATTTTTAAAAGAATGTTGTATTCATCCGATAGAATCTGAACATGCTAAGACATTGATTCTTTGAAATTTGCATTATTCGCAGAAGATTTTCAGGATTTTACTCACTTCAGTGCCATTATATGGATGCATTTTTTGCTAGAGCGCACAGGCACTCATTCAATGCACATTGTATCACAATAGATCAATTGTGTACATTAATATACCACTATAGGCGGTACAGTCTTCAAGGTACCGGTACCCTCAGGTTTGCCCGGTAATATATGAATTTCTTTGCAGCATTCGATTGCCTAGAATCTCTACTTTCAGAAAAACATATGTTTTGCCGAGCGATTTTGCTTTCTTGAGGAGATACGATTTTGCTGTCTTTTCGAAGAAAACCTTCAAGTGTCTAAAAACGAGACTACTCGACAGGAGATTCACCTGGAAAACAATCTTAGCGAAGAGAAATTTGCGCAGGAAAATCGCACGATCGAGTATGATGAGCACAAATTGGAAGATGAGCATCGAGACGAGGGTTCCAGGCACTTTGTTCTCCTCAAAATACGACGCAACTCCACCTTCACTACTGCCATCAGCCTGTCAAATATTATCAGAGTTCATCAACTGAGGCTTTCGATTCTTGAAGACATATCATCTAAACTCTCATCTGACCACGAATGATCATACGTACTCGTCAATAATTCGATGTCGATGATGTATTTGTACACAGTAATAATATGACAAACTTACTCCGAATCCAGAATAACCGAAGATGACGATTAAGAAGCAAATTACGTCGCATAAAAACATCGGTGCGTACAGATCGAGTGGGAAGCGATCAACTGGATTCATGAGAACACGGAAAAATTGTCGGATTGCAAGCAGACGTGCATTTGTCCTGCAAGCGCTTGTATGCATCTGCTTCGGAAAGCTTTTTCCGAAAACTTCAAAATGATTCAAATTTCAATTAACAACGTGGTAAACTGCAAAAAAAATTGCCAAATTATATTACAATGATAGTTCTCGCTTCCAAGGCACAATTTCTTAGAAACATCTTTAAGATTCGAAATTCCAAAAAATCGAACTCGATTTCTGACCGATAGATCAATGAACAATGCACCAAGTGATCGTGAGATATTCAACTATTGAGCAAAAATTTAGAAGGCAAAAAAAGATCGCCACAAAAAACAAACTTCTTATTGCCTTTAGTGATGAAACTTTCAGCCGCATTCCGCACTAAACTCAATTTTCTCTTGAGTGCTTTCGCTGAAACTTGATAAATTTTTACTTGTCGACTGGCGTTCGAGAATGGCAATCGCCATTCACATAAACACACATTTGATTTAGCACAAGAAATGAGTCTAATGAAATCAGTTCATTCGTAAAATGTTGATGTTCATTCATGAACTTCATTAAAAAGCCTCCAAAATGAAACAAAAGATCTCCTCAAACACAGTTGCTGAGTTTCAGAGACCTTCTGTGACACTGTACTCAATACGTTGGTTTCTAAGCATTTTCTCCTTGTGTTCCATTCATCAAATTTTCATTTGCTGTTGCTTTCAAAGCCATCCAGCGCTATTTCTGACTGTCATGTTAAATTTCTTAGTTGAACGAAGAGTATGCTTGTGATCACCACTAGATCATATGGGATTGGGCATGAAAAACCGGACTGAGTTTACTCATAAAATTGAGACTTCGATCTCGGAACGACTGCTCAATATAG